GAGCACGTCTTTGTAATAAGTTTATGTAAGAAACATTATGCTCATCTGAGTACACTTTCTGAGTGCACTCTCAAATGTACTCTGAGCACGTCTTTGTAATAAGTTTATGTAAGAAACATTGTGCTCATCTGAGTACACTTTCTGAGTGCACTCTCAAATGTACTCTGAGCACGTCTTTGTAATAAGTTTATGTAAGAAACATTGTGCTCATCTGAGTACACTTTCTGAGTGCACTCTCAAATGTACTCTGAGCACGTCTTTGTAATAAGTTTATGTAAGAAACATTGTGCTCATCTGAGTACACTTTCTGAGTGCACTCTCAAATGTACTCTGAGCACGTCTTTGTAATAAGTTTATGTAAGAAACATTGTGCTCATCTGAGTACACTTTCTGAGTGCACTCTCAAATGTACTCTGAGCACGTTTTTGTAATAAGTTTATGTAAGAAACAGTATGCTCATCTGAGTACACTTTCTGAGTGCACTCTCAAATGTACTCTGAGCACGTCTTTGTAATAAGTTTATGTAAGAAACATTATGCTCATCTGAGTACACTTTCTGAGTGCACTCTCAAATGTACTCTGAGCACGTTTTTGTAATAAGTTTATGTAAGAAACAGTATGCTCATCTGAGTACACTTTCTGAGTGCACTCTCAAATGTACTCTGAGCACGTCTTTGTAATAAGTTTATGTAAGAAACATTGTGCTCATCTGAGTACACTTTCTGAGTGCACTCTCAAATGTACTCTGAGCACGTCTTTGTAATAAGTTTATGTAAGAAACATTATGCTCATCTGAGTACACTTTCTGAGTGCACTCTCAAATGTACTCTGAGCACGTCTTTGTAATAAGTTTATGTAAGAAACATTATGCTCATCTGAGTACACTTTCTGAGTGCACTCTCAAATATACTCTAAGCACGTCTTTTTTACATGTCACATCCAATTGGATTATACTTAAATTCTCACACTTAACAAATATTTACTTACAAGAATCTCTAGGTTTAATTTAAAAAAAAAGTTTATAAATATCAGTTTGAAATCGTTTGTATGCTTCAGCACTGTATTTTTGTATTGGAAAAAAAATTGTCGAAAAATGAAATTTTTGCAATACTTCCTTCCGATGCAGTTTATGACCAAAACTTTGATTGAAACTGATGAGAATCATGATTTAAAACCTTTTGACATCTAAAAATTTTTACTTGGATGCTTCAGTTCCTTTAATTTTGACTTTTTCAATTTCGTTTGTGGAGTACTTAGAAATTTCATCACAGTAAACATTTTTGGGTTTTCACGTTTGAATTTATTGGTTTTGTTCAGATTAAAAAATCAGTTTTTTGAATTTTGTGAGGATATGGAACAAGGTAGCTTAAAATGGTCAGAGATGAAAAGTTTTATGCCTGGAATTTCACATCTTTTGCAAAACACAGATTTCAAATTGATTGCGACATTGCTGAGAAAATCGCAAAATACGCTTTCTGTAAGCAAACAAGCCAGCAAGTTAATCAGCAAGAAACGAGACATCGTAGAGACTTCTAGTTTTTTATATTTGATTCGTGCTGCTCTATAGAAGAGCTGCATTGTTTTTAGGCAAGGTAGAAACAGCCGTTGCTTCAGAAAAAGCAAAAAACTTTCCTTTCTTACGAATTTTTCAAAACAAAAGTTCACTGTGATTTTTATAAAATTAAACTTTTGATGAAAAAAAAAATTTTAAAAATCTTTCAAAGAATGTTCGTTAAGCTTTAAACCTTCAAACATATGCTGAGCGAAGCTCAGCTGACGCGCTAGCTTCATACCTTCAAATTTATGCAGAGCGAAGCTCAGCTGATTCGCTAGCTTTATGCCTTCAAACTTATGGATAACTTGGGTTTCTACCCGATACACTAGTTCTTAGCAATTTTTGCTTTATTTTTGCTCCTTAGAATCCAAAATGGCATTGGTTTCACATTAATAAACAGTCAATTAACCTCTATGCCAAATTACAACTTATAATCTCAAAAAAGTTCAAAGTTATAGCTAAAATAAATTATACATAGGTTTCCAACCCTTAGAATCCAAAATGGCGTCGGTTATATATTCAGGTTATATACCACTTAACCTACATGCCAAATTTCAGATTAAAAGTTTAAAAGATACAAAAGTTATGGCAAAAAAATAATTTGGTATGAAAAATTTATGGAAAAAAGTGAATAACTCCGTGAAAAGCTCGGAAAACGCGTGGAAAAATATGAAAATGGAAAAATTTATCATAAAACATCATGATCTATCAAAAAAGTGTAAAAAGAATGAAAAAAAGTTCCTCACGGTGAGGCCTGAACCCGTGACCAATGAGTTGTGAGAAAATTCACCTTTTTAAGGGCTACGTAAAAATACGTATGTAAAACGTAAGGTAAAATTTCAGAAAAAGTTAATTGAATTAACCTTCCTTTCAGACGGACGGACAAAACGCAAGCAATAGCGTCATTTAAATTTTAAAATTTAAAATCAAAGTTAAATGTGTTATTTGCCAAAAATTTTACTTAAGATAACACAACTCGGTGGAGTAGAGGTAGCAACGCAGAATTTATCTAAGAACACAGCGGTCAGAAGTTCGAATCCCGGTAAGATTTACAAAATTTTCATTAATCATTTCTTCTTTCTTTCTTTCTTTCATAGCTTTGAAAATTAAACAGCAAAATAAAAAAGGACGCATTAATTATGTAAAATAATAATAAAAAAAAGTTTCAAAAAATAATAATTTTTATTTATTACGTCCTTTAAAGTACACTCAAAGTATACTCTTTTGAGTACATCAATAGTCAGATTAAGATGTACTTTTATGAGTATATTAAAAGTATGTCAAACTAAGTATGCTCATTTGAGCATATGTTTTATGTGCTTAATTGAGCATAAAGTGTGTCACATGTGACATGACACATAAAAAAATGTTTTATTTCAAGAGTGTGCTCAAAGTATAACTGAGTGAGTATGCTCTGGTGAGTACACTTTTAGGCGTAAAGTAGTGGCACAAACTTTTGTATGAAAGAGCATACTTTTTAGAGTACACTCAGGAAAAATTAGAGTGTGCTCTTTCTGTGCTCTTTGCCAATTAGGGATAACTTTAAAATTTGAAAACATTTAACCAAATAGTTCAGAAATATTGCTTATAATAGAAAGTTTTGACACTAAAATGTACGAGATCAAGCCATAATTGGGCATTTGGGCATCGTTGGATTAAGGAACGGGTCATGAACTTGAAGTATAGCGGGAGAAATAGGAACGAGAGCTACAAGATTACCCACGAATGGAATATTGTTAGAACGGACCTTAAAAGTATCACGTCACGCCCACAGAAGATCGAAACGAGAGCCTTAGTTTATTTGAAACCTAGATATGAAGATTAGAAGTTTGATCCTACATAATACTAGTTCATATGTATTCAAATACAAAAGTGTAAAATGTGAATTATTACCGGACAGTATGTCGTCAATAAATGCAATAAAAGTGCAATTAAAATGAAAAAAAAAATATAATTTTTTAACACAAATTGAGATTTTGGTTATAAACCAATCAACAAATAAGAGTAAAGATAGAGAAGATGCTATGGTTTTGGCACGTAGCATCTTTTCGTTTAAGCTTAAAAATGAAGATAAAGTCAGAACAGAATGTAGGCTTGTTAATCAGGGTCGTTGAAAACAAAAATTTTCCTAGAAGATGCAAATCGTGAAAGGGTTTGAAGGAAAAATCAACTTTAAACTTTTAAACAACAAATTGAATTTGAGATGAATAAATTATGAACAAAATATTTTGAATCTGTTGAATGAAATTTCTTGATGAAAACAATCTAATATCCAACACAGTTTCTTAATCTTGAAATGAAATCGAATCAAATTTAAAAATATTAAATATAAAGCAAATTTGACAGCAAGCATAAATAATGTATAAACAATATCTAATAAAGATAGTAATAATTTAAATTTTAACGACACAAACTCAGCATCAATAAATAATCAAAAAAAAACGAGTGAATGCCAAAAAAGTCGAATTTTAATAAAACTCATTCTCAATTTGTAACTCAAACTTAACAAGTATTAATCGTTCGACCTACATATACTGATTTTCGTCTTCCTTCTTTGTCTACAAAAAAAAAGTTGATTCAAAATTTTTTTGCGATATGAAGCAAATAATTGCTCACTCGGTCAATAATAATTAAAATTGGAGATTTATTCATTAAAGTGAGTGTAAGATTAATTTTCTTCGTTTTTGAATTTTTGATGTTCGTATTAATTTGCATTATTTAAAATTATTCATCAATTTTTGCAGGAAAAAAAAGTGAAATAATTTTAAAAATTTATGCATTCCACAAATTGAATAAAAAATACTTTTATATTTTCTGTGTTTTCAATTTACAGTATGCAGTGCCATTTTTCTGCATTTCTAGCATTTTCTGAGTCAGTAAAGTCACGTTTTTACAGCAAACAGGGAGAGTTGTCGAGTATGAATATTGCTCAAAAGAGAAACAAGTCATTTTTCTCAATATTTTTCACAATTTGTGAGCAATCGTCTATTTTACTATCTTATTTAATGCATTTCGATATAATACGAATTTTAACAGTATTTAATTTTTAATATCGAGTGGCAAATTGTGGCTTATTCAGAATTAACATTTTTATACAGCAGAATTTTTAATGGTAAGCCAAAGTAACTAGAGAAGTTCTTTTTTCTAAAATAAAAACCTTTAATGAAAACAAATTGAGTAGAAATTTTTTCAAGGACCCAACCCTTGAGCAAAGTACAATAACAAAAAAATATTGAGTAGTTATAAATTCTTTCGGTTTTTGTGTTGCAATGAGGAGGTCATAAAGAATAATGTCATCGTAAAAATTTAAAAAAATTCGATTTGTTAATGAATGCTCTATCGTTTTACATTTTGTCTCTTTTAGTCATAATTTTGTGGCCAATAAATTAAGACGATATAATTTATATGTAGAATAGGAGAAGGAAATATAAAGTCAAAAACTCACCTATCAAGTTTATCATTGCTTGAGGTAGTTTCGGAATCATCGTCATATTTAATTATTGCTTTTTGTTCACACGGCGAAAAGCATTGTGGCGTTGTTGGCGTTTTCGAATTCTCCGATGATGTTGGTGATAAAAGAATTTGTTCGTGCTTTACTATCACATTCGTTAATGCTGAGGATGAAGATGAAGATGACGATGACAATGTTGAGGTTGTTGGTGGTTGTTTAGTTGACACTTTTACGACAACCGAATTGCCGTTCTTTAATTTATGTATTGGCCTTTCTTTACCAACCATTTCAATTCTGCTTTAATCATTTATTCAACATTTGCATAAGTCAAACTTCTTGTTTCTTCTTTCGTCTGGTTTTTATGCTTTTTCTGGTTGCTTTTATGATTAGATTTTATATTTCTTTTTTGTATCTCTGCTTTTTATTGTTTAAATTTCGATTGAAATCTAATACAATGTCAATTAGCGATTTAATCTATCTATCTGCGCATTTAAAAGAGAGAGAAGATAAAAATGATCAGATTACACTTGATTAACATAAATCATCAGTAAGATTACACCAAGACATACATGTATGAATAAATATACTGGTAGAAAATAAAAGCTCAATGAGCAAAAAACTAAATGCGCAAAAAGAAGACGCAAAAACGGGCTTTGTCTTCGCTTCTTCTTTTGCAAAAAGATCAACAGTCCAAAAGCATAATTGTCATAAATAAAAATGAATGAGACATTCCGTCAAAACAACTACCGGTGTCTCATTATAAGTCGTTTATTAATTAAAATAATTTTTGCACATAATAAATTTTTATTCGTTTTGGATGAATGAAAGTATTTAAGCAGTCAATGGAGAAAGGAAGCAACACATATTGTATGCTAATATTTATGAATATAAACAGTATCAAAATCTAATTGTATGCATGCATAAATTGAAATTCAGTTTATTTCTAATTTATTAAATGGAAAAGAAAGAGAAATTTGCATAAAAATTGCATTTTACGTATTTGTGCACCTTATTGATTCATTTGATTGTTTAAAGTGGAAATGGCGCTCTATGAATATATTTTTGTTATTTGTTTGTTTGTTTGTTCTTAGAATTTCTTAGAGGTTTAATTTGAAAATTCGTGAGGTATGAAGGAAATGAATTTTAGCGTTGATATAAAAACCCCCCAGAAGAATTTTGTTCGTAATTTAATGTTTTCAAGTTTAAATAAATTAAACAACTGAAAATCAATTTTAAATTTCTTTAAGTAGCAAAACTTTGTTCCTTAATTTTACGATTCATTAACAAATTTTCAAAACTATTGTATTAACAAATAAAAGTTGAAAAGTAATAAAATCTTCACCGATAAGCCTAAACGAATTTTGAATTTTTTAATTAGAACATTTTTACAGTCGATTGTTAGCCCCCGATATTTCTTGTCACGTTTTGTGTATCTTTTATTTGAAATTGCATCAATATCAGGAGTTTAAATACACGAATTAATACAACAAAAACTCAAAGTAAAATTTATTAAAATTGCAATTTCACGGCAATAATTAACATTAACAATTATCAGATTGATGTAATAATGTGTTGAAATATAGTATAATGGCATGAATTATATAAAATGCCAATTAATAATTAGAGAGTGATTATCAAAACAATTTACTGTCATGTTCACATGTAATCAGTCAAATATATGTCGTTTTTATTATCTAAGTGCAATTAATATAAATCTTAAAATTTGGTTTTTTCCCAAGCATAAAATAGTGACAAAATCTTTAAGTTTGTTAAAAATAATGTTACACTAATATTTACCAGAATATCCCTTTTTTTGTATTTTATATAGTGCAAGCTATAAAAATAAGCTTAATGACTCTATGTTTTAAACAAAAGCTTTTAGTTTTTATATCGTAAAACATTCACTGACGAAGAAAATGTTTAACTGCTATTTAAATCAAGATAAACCAACTTGGAAAAAATTCACTAAAAAGCACACTGAGGTCGCAGAAAAAATGTACTCTTACAATGAAAATAATTCATTTTATATTGGGAATACATTTTTTCTGCAACCTGATGAGGTATTCGGTAATTTTTTCAAAGTAAGCGTACCTTAATGTCCAAACAGCATTATAAGATTAAAAAGATTTATGCAGTTTTTAATCAAATTGATGCTTTACAAATTAGGTTGTTAAAATTGTAAGAAGAATTGAAACTTTTCATTTGTAAAATAAATGTATCTTAATAGTTCCTTTCGCATTCTGTATACAAAATTAAGAATAAAACACATATATTTATTAAAACAACAAAAAAGTCTAAAGATTTACACACAAATGAGATCGAGTCATCTCAAAATTAGTGAATTAATAAATGAATTAATGTTCAATAAAAAATAAAATTTATAATAAAGCAATAAAAAAGTCTGTGATCAATAAAAAGAGCGAATCGGTGGAAAATGGCACGTACGTAAAAAATTTGTGTAACATGATATTTATTTTTTAAGCCAAATTTTAAACGATTAATTTTCATATCCAGTTAGTAGTGCAACTTGGGACAAATAAAGGCATTTGCAGTTTTTAACAGGAATTCTTTTACCACTTGCTTTTGACTTTTATAAATTTTCTATGCGTTTCCTATTTCTTTTTAATTACATGCTCTATACTTTATGTGATGTAATCAAATTTCAATCCATCGTCATAAAATCTTACACTTTATTACATTAGTGCCTTTGAAGAACAGTGAAGTAATTTTAGAACGGAAAATAATTTTTTTTCAGATAGGAAATAAAAAAATTGGAATTCTTAAAATAGTATTTGTTAGGATAATGGTTTAATTTCTTCAATACTAGCAGCTAAATTACCATAAAATTGAAAACTATATGAATTGCTAGTATTAGATAGTATCTTACACAAACAAAAATTAGATAAGGTTTAAATCTTTAAAAGATTTTGAGTTTTGCTGCTACTCTTTACACCTTGAAAATGTACAACAGTATATGTTTTAAATGTTACTAGTCTACATATTCAGAATTTTATTGCATAAATGTCACAAAATTCACATTTTATGGTTCCTATATTTTTAAAGATATTTTGAATTGAACAAAAGTTTGTTCATTCTTTCCTTTTCTTTTCTTTTATTTATCAGTTTTATATCCCAAAATTCATTCTTATTATTAAATTGATTTTTGTTCGATGATGCAGCACCAACTTCATCGCATTTAAAATAAATCACTTTAGTCACAATTTGAATTTTCCTTTTTTAGAAATTCTTTTAATTTTTGTCACATTTTCTTAAGATTTAAAAGTTTTATCTTTTACTAATAATAGTTCATTCAAGCTTCTTGTATGAATCGATGTATAGTAAATTTTTGTAGAAACCAGCACACTAATAAATTTTCACGATCAAACATAAATTCTAAGTTAAAGAACTTTTTGAAATTTTCACATATTGCGCATTTTCCAAGATTTATTTGATGTTTTATAACTAAATCTTTATTTAGATTCAAACTATTAATATTAATATTTTTTCTATAATATTTAATATTGACAACTCTTATTATCAGTACGCTAAAGAATCTTCTATGTAAATTAAGAATTTCTAGATTGTTGTCGATCATTCACCCATTCAGCCGAACAAATTAACTTAGTAGTTGTGATTATTTTTGCAAATGTAGGCTAAAAACTTGTTTTTCGATGCTAATTTACACTCTCTGACAGTTTTAGCATATTTTTATAGAACACATGTAGTCACAATCTCCATTTCTCTGATGATTTACAGTTTGTTTAAAATTTATCGACGAAAAAAATCTGTAAACAATATTTCTATATATTACATTCAGAACAAGTTGCTAATGATTAATCTTGAGCCACTTCTGAACAAAAAAGTTATTAACTGCTAATCCGTTAGCTTCCTACTTGACCGAAGCCACAGTAGCCCCAATCTTGCACTAAAACACTAGATTACAAAAAGCTCACTCCTTTACTACAGCACAATCATCGAAGTCCTTACTCAACATTTTTTAAATTCAACATTTTACGCTTTATTTATTCAATCGTAAAGCGTTCTTACTTAAAATTTTTTTAATTGTATAAAAACTCTAATACTCCAAGAGAAAAAAATGATTTTCATAGTATTTTATTATCAGGAGATCAAATAGTCCATTACTTAAGATCACTGTATATTCATGTGATTTAAATATAATTTTTGCACTCTACTTTCTGATTTGTTCTGTAACTTATAGCACTTTTTAATTAAAATAATATTTAATAATTTTTTCATTATGTCTGGTTTTTCACTTTAATACAATTTAATCCTTTGTAGCCACGTCAAAATATTTCTGTGAGAATTATTCAAATTTAAAGACTTTTTTCACTTATTATTTCAATAGAAAGTTCAATAGGATTGTGTTGATTAAAAATTGAATGAATGCTACGTATGAATTATACTACACACAATCAGTTATAGTCAATGAATGCGAACATTGAGAAAAAAAAATATAGAAATATTATTCCATCGTCTCATTACATTGGAAACGACATCGCATAAGAGAAATAATTTGTAGCCAAATGAGGTCGTAGATAGAGAGGTATTTTTATCTAGCTGTCCTTAAATAAGCGAAATTATGTCCCGTTGAGCTATACTCCATAAATAATTTCACTTTACTTTTGTAAACATACACAAACATGTATTTATTTTGATCTCAATGAATGAATGGCATATCCATGATCAAAGAGCATAGATGAAAAAATATGCTGTGTATTATTATCATTATACATGCTAATTTGATAAAGTAATCAAATCATCACAACAGTTGGAGGTAACCCGTGTGCAATAACATGATGGAAATCGCCAACGCGAACTAATTTTATTTACAATCTTGTTGAAACTCTTTCACCTTCTTTCCAAAATGATAGAAAAATCATTCATTTATAAAAATAAAACGAAAAATGAATTTTTTGATAATCCTAGGTCGACCTTGACTTTACATTCAAAATATTAAAATCAAGCATATAAAATCAAAAGAACAAAAAAAAAGAATTGTAATATAATCTATCGCATGTAATGCTCTAATTTTTCAGCTGCTCGTAAAATTTTTATTTTCACTCGATATATGTATAGTGCGTCACTTTTCATGACTCAATCACTCTTTTTCTCACATTTAATCGCTTTTATCAGAGTGCTTAGTTTACAACAACCTCATAAACCGTCTTTTTGAATCACAAATTTTTAAATTGAAACTTTTATTTGATTTTATATTCTGATTTGTTTTTTCTTTTTTTGTATTACAAGCAATAAAATTTTTTTTGGCAATTTTTCTTGTTTCATATTTAAACATTTTGTTTTTGCTTATTTTGAGGAAAAATTAAAACATCAAATTTGGCTGAAAAAATATGATTTTTACGTATTGGTTCTAACCTTCACATATATTAAGATTTATTTATCTTATCAATAGCTTTATTCGTCTGTTACTCTTTCACACCAATTCCTTAAAAAAAAGCTTTAATTTGTCACGTAAATTTATTTTTGAAAAAACTGTTTATAGGTCATAATCAAATAATGTTCTATATAAAATGCGTCACAATGTGCGAAAACATGTGACGAAGAGAATAAAAAGAATACTCTAGATAGAGTTGAAAACATCGTGAATAACAGAAAACACCGGCAAACGACAATAGAGATAAATAGCTTCTTCTTTGTAATTGCTCAAGGCCATTATGATTTTTCTATTTATTAACTCAATGTAATTTTTTTTAAATCTTTTTTAAGTTTTGAAATATTTATAAGTATAAAATTTATTGACTTTAACATTTTTTTAGCTTTTTCTCACGAACGAAAGATTAAAATGCTATTTTTATCGATCTTTTAAAAAAATGTTCTGATAAAACAAGCATCTTGTCTTCTGTTCTCAACACTGAATTATTTTTGGAAGTAAGAACGTTTTAAGGTTTTCTAACCAGCAAAAAAATCAAAATGAAATGACAAAAAATAATTTGAATGTATATTAAAAATGACAGAAAATGCAAAAAAAAAAACATCCCAAGTAATTTAAGCGGAAGTGAACGTTTTGCTTTTTAATATTAAGTATCCAAAACTAATTTTAAAATTAAAAAAATGTTTATGTAATTATTTTTAATTGACTTGGATTTCACGGTTAGAAAACGAACAGATTTACATCTCACATAAGCAACTCTTGTATTTTATTTTTTCGGATAGTAAAAGGTAGCATCTTGTTGCTTTTTTGACTATCCTTTGAATAATTTCAGCTCAACAAATCTGAACTTACTATTAAATTGGCAAAAATGTATAGCAACTTATAGTCAAATATCTTCATTTTATATAAACACTCTTTTTTCCAAAATATTGAATACTTTACCCGAATGGCACAATTCGTTTAATCGATTTGTAAGCCAACACCAAGCCGGTATGAGTCTAGCATGGTGCAGGATTTAAATCGAAGCCAGTCCGAATTTCCTCTTCTTAAATTCGAATTGATTTTTTTAAGGTATTTCTATTTCAACATTGAAACTGGTATTCATTTATGTTAAATGATCCTAAGGTTTTTATGCCTTTTTAATAAGTTTAAGTCCTAATTAAGAAAGCTTTTTCCTCAGTGAAAATGAGGGAAATAGATTAATCAATTATATTAAATTTCAAATTTTCTGTAATCAAGTTTTTTATTCTAAACATATTACATTCAATATTAGTAAATGTTTAGTATAGTTTGTAAGAAATTATCATTTTCACTACTTTGTAATCAAGCTAATAGAAATTGATGTTAAGCTTAAAAGTTGCAACACGCTTTAATTCAAATTCAAGCTCTAAAATTTGCAGTGATATCATTTTACATTGTAATAACATCAAGATAAATTAGGCTGGCACATTCAAACCAGTTAATTTATCATTTCATGGAAAAATCTGATCGTTACATTTGCAAAACTTTCAACAGCTTTGACTTTAATTTAATGCTTAAATTTTGTTATTTCATTATTCCTTTTCTCTTATATAAGATATTTGACGAAAAATTACCAGAATGATATTGGAATTATTAAGCCAAAACTACTATTCAGTATTTTATCTTTTACAGCACATCATATTGACTTAATTATTAGAAAATATGTTGAAAAAATAACCTTTTTTAATTTCTTTATGATTCAATAATTTAATTTAAAGAAGAGCTCGAAGTCGACTCGACTTTATACAAAATTTCATATACTTCGAGCTCTGATTTAAAGTAACCAGTATTATCAACATTGAGGTTATGTATGCTTTACAAACATTATTAAAAATTTTTGCAAAATTATATCTAAATGAGGATATTTGGATAGTTGATATAAAATGATACTAGTTTTATAGATTCGATATTTTAAATAACCAGTTTATCTATTAGAACTAAGATTTCGTAAATTTTTCTTTAGAAAAAGCTTTGGTTACAATAAGTTCGATTTTAATTTTTTTATGTCAAGCAAAATATTTTGGAGAAATTAAAAAAGTAAAATCCCAAATAAATAGACGTCAATAAGATTACAACTTACAACAAAAACAGACCTCTATTAAAATGTTCACACGACAAGCTCTACTGATGATTTAAAGATGAACTTTTAAATTGGAATGTTTACAAGCTATGCTTGAAAAAGCGCGTAGTTTATTGTATTAAAGTTTGTCTAAACTTAAATATTTTTAGGCTCAACATGATAAACATTGAGATTAATTCTTATAAATTTTTAAAAACTCTCATGAGAGCATAAATTAAGTCATTATCAAAACTCATACATGTTAAATGTCTCTGATCGCTCTATTATCAAATTATTGTAAAAATATTTTAACGATTTTCATAATTTCAAATTCGTGAATGAAAAAAGGAAACACTTTAACGTGACCTTAGCTTGATAACTTCATTCACTCTTTTCTGCCAATTTTTTTTTTCTTGAACATTTGTGACGTATTACTGATTGGCTGCTTTCTAGACTCAGATTGCAGCCTGGTCGAAAGGGCAACTTTATAATTGTTTCCATACTTCTTAATCAACAATTATGAATGAGTCAAGTTAATTAAATGAATTCAACATTGTATAATGAGTTGATTAAGCCTTTAGTAGAAGTTTGCATCAATTTTCCTCTGAGTGCCTCCATTTTGATAATGAAAAACTTTAATAAAATTATTTATTTCTCCCTTGAAAAAATTGTGTCGTAAATTTACCGGTTTTTAAAGTTTGAAGTTATTCAGCTTTAAAAAAAATCAAAAATTTATAAATTCAATAATTTATTGATTTTTGTCATTTATATAATCACACTGATTATAATAATAAGATCAATAATAATGATGTCACATAAGACATAACTTTTCTTGTCTTTGGAGCATTAAATATTTTGAACTGAAGAAACCAGCTATACGAGCATTTATGAAGATGTGTTGTGTTGAATGATACGCCTATATTTGATAGTATTTCAAACACATCTTTCGTGAGACTACGATAAATAAATTTGAATTGTCCCCCAAGTTTCTTTATATACTCATATGTACATGCTGTTTTTTCTAGACTCTGATTCAGTTTTCATTTTTTGTGTTATTTATTTCGCACAAAAATACAAAAGTAAATGATTGTTGAAAGAAAAACAACACTTACAAACGCCTGACGTATGCGTTAACCATACAGAGTCGAATCAAAATATAAAGCAGGAAAGAAATAAGTTCAAGGCCACGAGAAGCTTTTCATCAGCTGAATGAAAATGAAAAGCAATTTCTTCTTCTGAATACTTTTTCCCTTCGTTATTTATTTTTATTATATATAGCGGCGACGATGACTCAATTCAATGACATTTGCAAAAAAAACCGGCACTGATTGGAAATAATCTTTTTATTATTTTTCGCTATGAAAATTTAAAATTTTGATTTGAAAAGCTCTTTATTTTATTTTTAGCGAATTTAACATGTTTCATTTTCCGCAATAAAAATTTCACTTTTCTTCTTCGGATTCAACTCTTGTATATAAGCTTTTTTCAAGCCTTTGCTTAATTTGCTTCTTTATCTGCTTTATTTTCTTGTTTTCATCTTTCATTTTATCATTCACAAAAATAGTAATAAAAAAATTAACTCTTTTTATTTATATACATATAACGCTCAAAAATATACATGTACATTTGCAGAAATAAAAAAAATGATGAGGAAGAAACGAAATCTTTGTGGCTTATTTCATTTTTATATTTTTCTTGTAAATTATCAAATCGTCGGCTAACGAAGCTGACAAGAACACAAACACAGCTGTCTTTAAAACGTCAACTTACTAGCACTGACCATGGTCGAATTTTTTTTGGGTTTATATAGACTCTTAGTTTTGTTTTTTGTTTTTTTTTTCGGTGTATTGATCACAGAAAAGTTTCAGATTTATTACAAAGGAGGAACACAAAAAATAAAACGCAACTTGATTCCACTAATTGTATTGATTTTCTCTTTAAGTTTTGCACTTGATTTTTGTCTTTCTTTCTTTCCTTTTCCTTCATTCATTCACACATTTTGAAAATATATGTCGTGCACAAATATTTTCGATAAATTCCTACCAATAATTCGCTAATAAAATTTAACATAAAATTTGTGTTGATGAGAAATCCTATATACTTTAATTTTTTGAATGCCTCATACGTAAGTAATGGTGTGTAACCTTGAACCTTAATTAAATTATATATACATCACATATTTACATTGCAAGTTCACGGTTATTCCTCATCAAAGATAAAAATAATCCATTGTTTCAATTATAATTTTCACTTTATATTACATTCAATTAATTTCGGCTTGTCACAAAATTGATGATTGCACATTTGATAATTTTAGTTTCTTCCTTCTCTCTTATCTCTTGAGCTTTTTCTTTATCACTACAACTTTATTTTTCTCAAATAGACAAATACCTGACCTATTCACTATTTGAAATTTTACTCTCACTCGTACTATATCAATCCAAAAATACAACTTTTTTGGATTTCTTAAAGGCTATGAATGTTTTTAATTTATTTTTAGTACATTTCACAGTAAGAAGAATCTAGTGTTTGTGAGGACGCGAGAAAACTAGCAAAACTTAAATATCAACTTTTAAAATTATTTAAGATTGCTTATTTTCTGTAATGCTGATCAATTTGTTAAATATATGACAATGATTTGATTTAAATGGCTGAATTTCTTTGACATTACACTGCATTGAATATAACAATAACTATATAATTTAATCCAAATTCATCAGTGACAAATATTAGACACAAATATTAACTTCATGAAACAGATCTGCACTAAGAAAATGTGTTAAAATGCGACATTATACAAATTTATGTTTCTTTATATTTTCTATTTTTGTTTTATTATTTAATTATCGATTTAATTTTGTTTAAAATAAATCAATATTATTGGAATAACAAAACTATTTAAATCCAATTATATAATCCCTTGTTTTTCAATATAAACAAAGCGTACATTTTTACTGATCATAGCGCCATCTAGTTTTCAAACATAGAAATTGAACCTTAATAAAAATAAAAATCCGTTACTTTATTTTCAGTTATTTTAATATTTGGATATTACATTGATTCTTTTGATTCACGTCTAATTGTTGATCCATTTTTAGCTTCAAAGTTATTTATATTTTTTTTGGAGAGATTAGAAGCAGGGATTTTTTTAGAAAATTTCAGATTAAAAACTCAATCTTTTTTGTCTTGATTTATATAATAAATCTATTCCAAACTTACTAAAATTTAATATTTGGAAATTTTTACAGAACACAAACATAAATAAATATCAGTTTAGTTGACAATAAATGTCACTCAATTGACTGGAGACGACAAAAAAAAAATCGTAGTGACATAAATAGACAGTAAATTGGCTTTTCGTCCTTGAAACAAATTTAAAGAATTTATTTCAAATTATTTATGAAGTTGACAGTATTAATATATTGAGTTCCAATAATATCATTATAGATGATTTAGCTGATGATTGCTATGCTTGTTAATTTAAATAAAATAACACTTAAGCTCATAACTTGTCAATTAGGATTAAAATGAATTAAAATCAAGCTTTAAGTCTATTTTCATTTCAAAAGCTTTTCTCTCCTTCATTTGTGAATTATTTAATTAACAAGTTAAGTGAAAATATGCGACTTATAACACCTGTTTGCATTATAATTAAATTATTTTATGAAATGCAGATTGGATTTACATTTCCTTTTTTAGAATGCATTCTAAACTGACAGCGTCGTTTTTTTCTGAGATTATTTAAATATTTACTTTTATTATATCAAGACATCATTTATGCAAGTGGAAGGAACTAATTTTTTTTTTCGATTAGTTGATTTATAATACAATGGTTTGAATCTAACGGATTACAAATACTTTTGCAAGTCATTGTTTTCTTCAATGCATTTCAGAGCAATAATCGCATTATTTTTTAAAAGCTTTTGAGTCTATGCTTAAAAACTATACCGACTCGTGAAACTTCAATAGCAAAAAGCGCTTTAAACTAGTTTAAATTCTTCGATCAAATATTGATTATTATGAGTCATTCCATTTTATCGCAAAACAATCTCTAGATTCTTAATCTTTTTAATTGAAAGGTAGCATGTAGTCACAAATATTTATCTATTAAGTATAGTAAACAATAATTTTCTAAACAGAAGCTGTTAAACTTGAAACCCGGAAAGGGAACCTTTCTAATCTCTATTTTAAATTGAAACACAAGCGTATTGATCTTTAACAACAGCAGCTGATTAGTTTACTTGACGATCTACGCTGTCATGTTTGTTATATTTACTTTGGCATTGCAAGCCGTTTTAATAATAAACATTTCAAAACTCAAAGTCAACTTCCCTTGGAAATTAAACAGAATGATTATTTAAAATCAATATCATCTCATGAATATTCATTTTTTTAGTGCTAGCCGTGTTAACTATAAATCAAATAGAATTCTCAACAATTGCATAATGCTAATACTTTATTGAACTTCCCACGTTTCACAACATTTATAAGAATGAGAGCGAGAACAGAAATGCACTATATGCACAAAAACAACTGAATTTTTCCATAAAACAATGTTTATCCAGAAGAAGTAAGTTAAAAGTGCATGACAGGTTATAAAACCTCAATCTAAAAATCCCTAAAATGCAGATAGTACTGCCAAGATACAGATGGTGCTGCTAAAGTGCAGATGAAATTTATTTTCCCGAAAATGCAGATGAAATGCTGTTGCTTTAAAAAAGGTATAACGCAGATAATTTTTATCGTATAAAGTGCAGATAAGATGCTGCCTAAATGAAGATCGTATAGTTTTAATAAAATAAATATGAAATGCTATTATAATGCAGATAATTTAACGTTGGATATTAATTATTTGGGCCCGGCGAAAAAAAATTATTCGGTAATGACGCTATGATTTCTTTAATATCTCCGAAACCACAATAGTGACAAATTTCAAAGTTATTTTATCTTGTAGAAAACAAAAATCGATTTCTTTTGACATAGAACCGTGTTCAAATTCGAAAAGGACCTAATAAAATTGGATATTTTGGTATTTTGCAACCATTTTGTGATGCAATTAAGTTATTTACAAAAGAACAAATCTTACCTTTTTTATCTAATAGAATTATTTATTATTTTGCCCCTATTTTGCCGTTGCTTCAGAAAAAGCAAAAAACTTTCCTTTCCTACGAATGTTTTAAAACAAAAGTTTACTGTGATTTTTATAAAATTAAACTTTGGATGAAAAATGTTTTTAAAAAACTTTAAAGAATACTCGTTAAGCTTTAAACCTCCAAACATATGCTGAGCACAGCTCAGCTGGTTCGTCAGGATTTATACTTTCAAGCTTATGCTGAACAAATCGAATATATCCGCAATGGGTTTCTACCCGATACACTAGTTTTGTTGTTAAACGACATGTTACATTTTTGCAAGATATATAGACGAGCTCATAAAAAGGATACTCGAGCCAATATATACATAAATATGTCGTCAGACAAAATAATTACCCTTAAATTTTATCATGGATCATTTAAAGTCATTAACACGCATCAAGAAAAAAAGTCATCGAATATTGATGTAATTCAATGAAATTATACGATCTACATTTAGGCAGCATCTTATCTGCACTTTATACGATAAAAATTATCTGCGTTATACCTTTTTTAAAGCAACAGCATTTCATCTGCATTTAAGTGGAAATAAATTTCATCTGCACTTTAGCAGCACCATCTGCATCTTGGCAGTACTATCTGCATTTTAGGGATTTTTAAATTGAGGTGGTTATAAATCGATTATCGATTTACGGCATAATAAATTTATTGTGCTAACGAGTAGAAAAGCTTTATGTGATTTCAATATCCGAACACAAAAATCGATGTTTCTATTATTCAAGTTCATGTTTGATCAATTACGGATCAATGCAAATGAATGAAAGAAATATAGAAAGATGTTGCGCACCTTAACAAGCTTATTTAACAGCAATTAATATTCATAAAAAAAATTAATATAGCTTTTAGGGAATTTACTAGGATTTCTCACACTTTTTGCCACCTGTGAAGCATAAAACAGATTTTTTCAGCTTCTGTAAATTTAAATGGTCTACGTGAGCGGAGAACTTTTTTTTAAATCCGGAATAGCTTAATACTTTTTCAGGCATACTTACGGAGATAATTTAATACATATTTGTAGACGTAAGTAGTTATAATAACTGTAACAAATGTAATTCTATTTGCCAAGTCACTTTTGTTGTTTCAATAAATAATCAGTGAGAAACTCCAATACGTTTTTATGTGGTTATAGATGATTTAAAGAAGAACATAGCAAATCATATTTTAATTATTTTTCAACTATTACTCATTTTTCTCCTTTTGCTTCATATTTATCAAGTTTAATTTAAAACATTGTTTAATTTAAATCCGTTGATGAAATACAAAAGTTCTATCAAGTCGTTCGTCAGTTTGAAGAAACAGGAACTTCTTGTCTTTAAAATGTGTTCATTAATTTTTCCCCTTTCAATTATTTATAATATGGATATCCCTATTAGTTGAATATATATTACGTTTTGTTCTACTTGGAAAACGGACATGACTTGATGTAAAACTATGAATATTCAATATTTTTGTGAAAGTACATGCACAATGTTGAGTTTCAGAATAACCTTCTAATTAGCTGACAGTCTAGATGACTAATAACTGCTAATAAATTGTTAATTAATAAGAACTAATTTTAAAGTCACATGGCGAACTTTTAAAATGCTTCAAATTAGTCATTTAAAGTGATTACTACTATATGTATCCCATCATCAAGATAAATTAATTACATACATTGATTAAGTGATAATTAGCATTTTTGCAAGTATCTTTACACTTCAATGATTTTTATGCTTACACATATGAACTAACCACAGGAAACTTCAAATAAAATAATCATTAATTTTAAAGGAAAATGTGATGCTTGCTGATACATTGTGGTAGCAACAGACATCTACTCAGAAATTGATAAACAAATTTGAGTCTGCAAAAAAAAAAACTAGTTACATGCTAATAGGATCCAGAAAATCACCAGTTTGAATAATCTGTGTGATTCAATAACATTGATGGAATCTGCAACAAAAAACTTACTACAAAAATTACTACAGATCATTTTAGATGTATAATATAGACTTTTCAGGAGTTTTGATTTTAGATTCTGATATTAATTTTCATACACAGAGGAAATACGAAACATGACATGATCAGCGCTAACGATATCGTTATGAAAATACTACAATTAGTCAGAAGCAAAACATCTAATTGTATGAGTGCGGTCAAATTAAGACCGCAAAATGCATTGTAAAGCTTTGTAAAAATATAAACTTGAAATTGAATTTTTATGCTTCTAAAATTCTACGCGAAGGACTTCATAATAGGAACAAATGAAGGCATTAAAAATACTTTTTATGTCAATCTTATTGTTAGCAAGTGAAGTAAGCTAAACAAATAATTTAGATAGTTTCAATCAATCGCCTGTGAAAATAATTTTACGTAAAA